CACCAATATGCACCACCATCACCAACACCACCATCACCAATATGCACCACCATCACCAACACCACCATCACCAACATGCACCAGCATCACCAACACCACCTGCCACCACCACTTATGCTATCACCACCACTACAACCATCATCATCACAGTGAATGTAACTGCGCGGGCTGTTGGACTCGCTATGGGTGGCGGGTGCTGTTCAGATGAGGTGAATGCCTATTGACACGGTGTTCACCGCATTTGTCTGTGTTTTCTGCCCCTGGCGGGTCTAATAGCTTGCGCAGTTTGTATATGTGAATGTGTGTGAGAATTATATATAAGATATTTAAAGTTATCTAAGTTAACTAGCTATTTTTACAGATTCATACTTATATTATATTTTATTTATTTAATTTATTTTATGCACGACCCCACAAGCTTTTAGCTTTAAATTTTATCGTGTTTAAATAAAGGTATTCTATTCTATTCTATTCTATCACAATTTTAATTGCTAACCACCACAATCAGGCACAATCCTTATCTTAATCATATATTACATTTTTTTATTCGACATCTTTACATCATCTTTACCATCACTATCACCACCTGTTGTGAGAATGGCGTATCGGAGATGGACGCTTCTGGCAGTGGCCTTTCAAACTACGAATACGCTGGGTCACAGACCCAGATTGGCCCTGGCCCCTTTGCCACCCCCCTGACTACGCCCTTGATGCTCCTAGCACGTAAGTCTTAACCGAGAAAAAGGCCGGTTGTGATGAAGGCTACTAGTACTGAATAAACTCTTACATTTTAGATCTCAGCCTTACCTTCTGCAAAGAACAAAAACTCGTCCTTGCTTTGTTCAAAAGGATTCGTTGTCACTAACTTGACGTCGAAATCAGGAGCTCCAAGGATTCCATCCTTGGATACAGGGACCTTACAGAAGCTGAATGCTCTTGGAGCATTGCCATCGAGGAAGACGCAAGGTCCACTCATGCTCGACTTAGTAGCATTTTTTATCTGGTTCTCAATGGYTGTTGTGTCTTTGCCGTGCCATGAACTGCATTTATACAGCACGGAACTGTAATAATGGAGTTTTTCTGATTGACAATTCTAGATGATGATACAAGCAAGAGAAAGAATATTGAGGAAGCAATCCAAGTCAATGAAGGTTGGACTGTGAATTAGCTTTTTTAAACTCGGCGAAATGGCACGCCACACGGCACGGTACCGTTGACGACATCCTCCAATAAGAATCCTTGGGAACGTTAGTCACGGMACAGCACGGCACGTCGTTTCCAAATCTGCTCTAAAACCATGAATTTCAGTCACAGATGAATGCTAAATGTACATCAATGTGTGGCACATTCAGGTCAAGTGAGTTGCTACGCAAACAACCCAACAACCTAACAACACAACAACCTAACTCTTCTCAATTTTCAGTATTCTTTAATAATATTAATACAAATTAATATTATTCATTAAAATTAATATAAAAAATAAAAACAGATTTAGCAATGGCATTGTCACAGAGTCTCTTCTTCCACTAAATGACAATCCAGTTAGAATTTAAAAAAAGGTTTTTGCGTATGAAGTAAACCACGAGAACCTGGAGAAAAACACTCAAGCAGAGAAGAGAGAACTAACGAGCACCTTAACAAACATTCGAGTTACTAACCTTGTGTACGATGTACAAATACCCTGCACCTTCTAGGCAAGGTCGTGTAATGTTTATAGTACACTGTTCAAGTTTTGCAGACAGTTTGACCGCATCCACGTAAAATAGTTGAGCCTGTCCCATGTCTAACCAACTGAAGCACTTTCCCTCGGGTCTTTGTGCTAATTTTCGTGACGTAAACTCAGTTACTCGTTGGGTAAATGGATGTTTTAACTCAGTTAGGTATTGATCAACATTTTGTTTTATGCTGCGATGTAAATGAGGTCGTAAAATCGCTCCAATAGTCATGTTCTTGTCACGCAATACCCCGCCATCTTTCCCCAAGTGTCCAACGTAGGAAAACTGATTTCGATTCTTCTTGATAAAAACCGAAAATAATTCAAAGTTCCTCGAGGTGCATCGCTCAGGGACTCCAAACAACTCTACATTGTCCTCRAATACTTCAGTCAAAATACGACCCAAGGCGTCCTTCTCAAAAAGTTCGTAAGCCTTTGYTTGCTCTAGTTCTTGGTTGCTACTCAAAACTGAAGACAACTCCATTCGWTGTCTTATCCTCTAGAGAAATACTATCCTCTAAAACTCATTCAATCTTATCTCTTCAATGAAAAAAAACCTTAAGAATACTACTGTGGAACTTTGAAAACCGTAATAAATGTTGGTGATTACTTCATAGTCTGTGTTGAATTGAACTGTTTGTTTATAGACAATTAACATGCACTGATGGGATTAATTAAYGGCGTTGCTTCGGAATGATTTCCATTGGTTAATTGATTAAAAGTAATCGACACTGTTGTCTTGACACTTTTAAATTGTTTATGAATTTTGCCATTCATGGTTGTTGAAGTAGTCCGTCAAAGTACTATGAAAATCTTTGATGTGTAAAACAGACCATTTATTTCTCTCTCGTAAACACAGGATAGTAACTTAAAAACAAACAAAAAATCTTTCCGAAACAAACTAAAATCTAATTTACCAAACATTTTCCCTAAACTCGCAAAATACGAGGTATCTTAAATTCCTTAAAACATCTCCTTTTGATGATGAATTTTTAGCAATCAAAATAAAAAAAAAAAAAATAATAATAATGAAATGAAAAGTAAAAATTAAAAAATTAAAAACAATAAGAATGGAAAAAAAAAAAAAAAATCAGTTATTCTAGCTGCCTTATTTTTACTTCAAATACACTTCATTCCAACAGCTGATTTCAAACTGAATGAAAATAAATTTAAAAAATGAATTTTTGCACTAGTTAGACTCTAAACTTATCATCTTCTGTTCAAATTTTAGTTTTGATTTGAGCAAGTTTTGGGACAATATTTTCAATTACTGTATCATGCTATAATGCATCACTTGATGTATAAATTGGTAAGTTTTAGACCAATAGTAAAGTCTTTGAGGAATTAAGAATATTTTGACTTTGAGCCTTTCATGAAAGGTGTATGGTGCTAGGTGCAAAACATTAGTTTTAACTGATCTTTTTCCTCTACAGCATTAAACATATATGTACAATATATTTCTTTAATTTATACATTATTTTTGTACCAACACAGTTMATGCTAGTTTTATACATGCTGTTTGTTAGTACAGCAGTTAATGCAGAGTATATTTTTCCAGGGGGAGGGGAGGGTCAAAGTAATCTATATGGACAATCAATAGACATACAAAAATCAACTACCATCCACCTCTATAAAGGAATAAATAAATTTGTGACCCCAAATATTGTTCTTTGGGTCTTCTTTGGTAAAAMAAATTTGAATGAAATGAAAAATCTTTTTGACCCTCCATTTTTGGCTGTGWGAAAAAGTGATGGAAAATCCCTGCAATTGATTTCTCTTGCTCGATATTCATCAAACCTTCAAAACCTTCAAATTTTCAGATTGAACTGGAATTTACCATGTAAGGTTTTGTGGAGGGGTGCRAACCCAGAGAAAAACAGTTGAATCAAGGGAAAGATCTAACAAACACTACTCACATGTGATGGGGAGTCCAGGAKACCCCAGAGGTAAGAGGTGCTTGCACTATTGCTACCACCTCCTTATATAAAATAAATGCTCCCTAAGGTATCTAGAGATCTAAGGTCATAATGGAGCTGCTTTTCTTAAAGCTAAGTAACCTGTAACGATGTCTGATGGTAGATTGCGTATTGTTGAGAACTCTCTTGCACTGCAATATCGTATACCTGTTCTAGGGTCTTTGTATTTTGCCTGTAATAATAATAAAAACATACAGTTTATAATATTCAAATTGTCATTTGAGCATAGAGAATCACCATACATATAAAAAATCTCAATTTCAA